GGCGCGCTCTAAGACCTACCCAAAACTTGAGGAATGGAGGCCCTTTGAAGAGATAAGCCTCAGAGAAACGCACAGGGGCGTGCTGGGGAGAGGGGCGCTGCCAAGTGAGGAGGCGTGCGTTCTGGCTCTGTACCGGGACCTGCTGAACGGAGGTGAGCCGGGGGAGGCCGAGTGCAGCACGTCCACTGGCGAGGACGCCGTGGACAAGGAAGACCTGAGATACGAGCTTGAGGTGCAAAAAATGCACAGACAGCGAATAAGTTATTCTGACATCGATTGGGACCTAGATCTCTCACATCCGTCAAGACTTAAAGCTGACTTTTACACTTTTGCCGATGCAGCCAAAACTGTCCGAAGACTGGAGGTGGAAAGTGTTCGTATGAACCGGGTCGAAAGTTTAGACAGACTGTCGGCTCAAACGGACGACCTAGATCAACTAGAGAACCAGCTGCCTGAAGGTACCAGCAGACGACTGCAAGTCCTTAAAGAAGGAATGACCCTCAGTCTGTATGTCTACACATCTCCGTTTGCCACCAAGACTGAGAAATTGATCAGCCTTCTAAAGGTTATTCGATACAGAATCGATGCGAACAATGCCATCAAGGCACACCCCGGTTGTGAGAGAGAAATAAGTCACCAGTTAAGACCAATCATGCAAGGAAACTCAAATATGAAAACACATTTTGTACAGCAGATGGTTACGATGTTCTCATCCGATAGCAACACGGAAGACACGCAACCCCAGGCCATCGGTGAGAGCCCCGGGGAGAGCTGCACCAGTGCCCCTAATATAGAAGGAATCCGGAGAGCTATACGTAATCCGGAAGGTCCTCCACTGTCACTGGCCGAGATGGTCTCAGCTGTAGGTAGAGTCCTACGATGGAGAGAGCAGCTCCTCTCAAAGTCACTCAGCAGACAAAGGGTGCATAATCACAAGCAGCGATTGAAAGGCATCTTGCATGGCTTAAAGTTCAACCCACAAAGTGAGCTAGGACTGTCAACAAACGAACAAAATCAGTCAAACTGCGGAAAGAAGCACGACGAGGTAAATGGAAGCAAACTCGTGATCCAGGACATGTTTGTTTCTGGAAGCGTGAGTGAAGGTACTGAGGTGTGTATCACCAAAAAGGATCCACATTCGCCTTATGAAACAGTTCAAGAGTTCGAATGGGTGAGTGAAGACGGCTTTGCTATGCCGCATTGGGTTCAGAAGAGACGTGAACGAACGGCGACAAGGGAACGAGAATCAAGCGACGACGAACCATCTGATCCGTTCAAACAAGCATCTGACATTGACTTCATGCTTCTAGCCGGACCGGTGAAATGGGTAAATGAACCGCTTTGGGACTCTGACAGCTCAAACGTTTCAGAGAATGCGTCACATTTCAGACTTCTCAGTGAGTCCTCCGATAGAGAGCAGATTAGCTCCGAAACAAAAAAGTACGGCTTAGACACTGAACAAAACAAATCGGATAGAACAGGCAGCTCAGGAACAGACAACATTCTCACCCTTCATGTAGAGGAGATCAAAGTTAAGCCGGGTTTTGTAAAGATCACTCATGCCGCCCTGCGGGAGGGTGACACCTTTGTCGGACGTGAGTTTTCATTTCGTTTTGTCCAATCCCATATAGCCGCAGCTATGGAAGAACATGTGGAATCCATCGAAAAACCATGGGAGGGAGGATGGGGGGCGAGCGTTGAAGTAGCCATCAATAATGAAAGCATTGATCTCGTCCCCTGTCTTGAGTACCCTGCGTGCAACATTGACGAGTTCGTGAACCGAGAGCGACCGTCGGGACAGCCGAGCAAGGACTTAGTGGAAAAACTAAGAAAAATGCCGACGTATGTGGTCAACAAAGGTGGTGCTTTTCGTTTGTCATTTTCACGTCTCGAGTCGGAAGTGATCCGCTCTATGACCAAGCCCCAGCGGATCTGTCTGGTCCTGCTCAAACACTGCGCTGCAGTGACGGGAAGCAGGCTGTGCAGCTACGATCTGAAGACGGCGATGATGTGGGTCTGCGAGCGACGTGCGCCGGAACTCTGGACCTGGGACGGGATGCTGGAGTCGATGATGGCCGTCATTGAGTTCCTCCGAGAGCGTCACGAGAAGGGTGATCTGCCGTGCTACTTTGCGCCTGAGATCCGCCTGCGGCCGAAGAACACACAGATGTCCGATGACTATGGGTGGGGCTCGGATATTGAAAGGTTGCGGGTGTTGTTGCCGCGTGCCATCCAGCTGCTGCTGGCTGGCCTGCTGAGCTCGAGCCAGGCGCCGCTGATGCGTCACCTTCTCAACCTGCCTCTGGACGCGCAGCAGATGCTCTGGTGCTGCTGGAAGCGCAGAGTCGACGACCCCTACCCGAGGAGACCGGATAAAGAAGGGAAGATTGACCCGGGGTACTTGTGCTGCGAGCTATACCCGGCAGCTGTAGAGGGTCGCCTTTGGTCAGAGCGGTTCATCGACACCTTCCGGTGGGAGTCGCTGCCGGCGCGCTGCAGGGAGCCCGACTGGTTCGCCGAGCATGGCCGATATACGGACAGCGAGGGAGAAGAGGAAAACAGTGGGGGAGATGAGGGAGACAGAGAGGAGACGGACAAAGTGGGAGAGGAAGAAAACAGAAAGGACACGAAGAATAAAGGAGAGGAGGAAGGCAGAGTGACTGGGAAGAAGATGGAGAGGATCCGGAATGCGCTGGGAAGGGTTATACGGTGTCTAGGAGAATGCGGTCAATGCACCAAAGGTCATGTCGTAGATTCCACAGACTACCTCAGTCTCCAATCTGGACGGTCAGACTAACCTGAACCTCATCAGTATGGATGGCCAGACTGCTTCTGACTTCAGCATCTGGTGTCTGACAAATAATTGACATTTTCGAGACCGGGTCAACTATACTCTCGACTTTACCCGGAGACAGTGTGTGCAAGTGTGCTAATGTTTGAAGGGAGGAGGAGGCAATAGACTTCTTTCAGCACCTGGTCATTCGCTGCGAATGGCAGAGAAAGCTTCTCTGATGGCCCCACCTGTGTATTGTGTACTTTGGTAGTTGTGCATCTATCGCAATGTGTCATGTTTGTATTGATGTGTGTTGTGCACATACAAATGTAGGCTGCATTTGTGCTTAAGTGTTTGTAACTGTGCAAGCTTCATGGGTGTGGATTTCCAAAAAAAAAGAACCTTTGGGGTGCACAGGCATAGGTGTGCCCCTCACGGCCGCGTGTGCCTCTTCTGCCAAAGGTAACATGTTTCACATGTTACCAATAATATCGTACTATTTTAAGTTTTAACGGTAGGTTATTCATAGCTTTTTGTATCATAAGTTTGCTAATTGCCTTATTAATAAAAACGTAATTAAAGAAAGTCAATAAATCAGTAGCAATCCTGTAGAACTTGCTCCAAATCTTTTTATTCACAATCGTGGTTGCGAAATATCGAAGCTCATCGCAGTCTAGAAATTTGATTTTTCTCACGTATCTGCTTAGTATTTATTATTTATAAATGCACAATTGGTCATAACCGGTAACATGCATTTGTATAAAATTGTAAAACATGATTAAATAACACGCCCTAAGTTATCTTACATAGCTATCAGTGTGCATAATCCATATGTCAATGTTTGGGGCTACTGCACGTGCGATCGTGCAAGGGTCGTTTCCAAATCTCGAGAACGGCTGGGCCAATTGCGTTCAAACTTGGTACACGGTTAGGGAACAGTGAGTAGGGTGCCGTGTGAAACTCAGTTTTGACCCAGTTTGCACGTGCGCCCGTGCAGGATGCCGCTCCCACATCTCAAGAACGGCTGGGCCGATTGCGCTCAAATTTGGCACACTGCGGGAGACCGGCAATAGACAATAGACAGTTTATTCAGGACATTCCACTGGAACATGTGGCTATTACTGCCCGTCGTCGGGCAGTAATAGCCCGACAACTAGTAATAGCGCCCGGCAACGGGGGTGCCGTGCACAAGTCAGTTGGAAGTTCCCCCTCCCACTAGTGCACATGCAGAGCCACAATAGCAATCGCTCGTTTATCACCCCAAAAAGCGTCTTACTCAAAGACGTATGATGACGCATTGACACAAGGGCCCAATCTTACCAAATGCCGTGAATGCGCATTCACGGCATTTGGTAACATTCAGAACTATTCCACATTCACTTATTCATTCGTTCAGGCAACATTCATAATCATTGACGCTATCAAAATCATTGGACAAGATTAGCTGGATGCAAATGAAAAAGATATCTTTGATATCAGTGCCGTTAACTCCGGCCAGTGCTGCCAAATCCTATTTACGGCATTGGTAAGATTGGGCCAAGGATTCCGACTTAGGATTCGCCTCCTTATCACCACCTTTCTTCTCAGTGCACTCCCACCAGTCAACCACTTGGCAACAGCCGCGCTCGGAAACAGAGCATACGAAGGAGCTCACACGTGCCGCGCGGGCCAGTAGTCTCAGTAACCATCGCATTTCCCGCTCATCCTCCGCCTTATGACAGGTAACATCTCTGAACACCTGTTGCAAGCCGAGATCGGGCGCCCCACCGACACCGGTTGCTCGTGGCGGTCTCTAAGAGACAGGAGGCGGCGGAGCGACCGCGCTGGCACCGCGCCATCCAGCTGGTCTGTCAGCCTGGAGAGGCTGTAGCGCTTCCACAGTGGACAAACAGACACACTGAGCGGGGCAGCCAACTGGGCCGCTGGCCGGGCGCCACGGCTGCTGCCGGGCGTGTGGTGCTGTGGTGGGCCGACTGATGAGGTGTGTTATACAGCGAGGCGTGGGGACAGGATAGGCGTGCGAGCTAAGAGGCGTGGATGGTGGTGTGGGGACGAGAGAACAAGTTTCAAAGGCTTCGTGTATCTTGCTTCATGGTGACACAAAAATAATGACGTCAAAAGGCAAAGCATGAACCTACAGCTAAGCGATGCGATAAACACGCAGCGGAAATTCGCTTCCACCACGTTATACAAAAGCCCCTTTGTTCCAATAGTGCCATTCACTCACCCATTTGATGATTTCCTTGGCGTCTGGCTCCAGGAACCGGGGATAGTAGGGCTCCTCAGTCCGAATCGCCCAGAATAGTTCATCTTCATCGAGACCGATAAACGGCGTCAGACCCACCAACCTGGAATGGTCGGGAACGGGTGAATAATTACTACCGATCAAAGTCTTCCAATAATAGCGAGTTTATTTAGTCAGTCTGCTTTTTGTGGATTGATTATGCTGGTGCATCTGCCGGATGCGAAAAACCCCGCCGGATTTCAAGGTAGGTGTTAGTTTGCAACTCTTCCACCTGCCGGCTTTTCAGCCATTGGCACCGGTTCAGCTTTGAAGTTCGCCAGTTCAAGGACATGAATCATTTTATAGGTAGTCAGTGGTTACCCGATAGTTGTCTTTGGTGCAGGTTTGTTCCTGAATGGTTGCGACTGGTGGATGTTCATGGTTGAAGCTTAAGTTTAGTCGGTCACCTCGTATGCATAACCAAGCAGTAGGTATGTGTGCAAAAATCGGCGACACTTCGGCGGAGACGCAGACAGTCTAGTGGATGATGCAATGTAACAAAAAAGAAAATATTGGTGCCGGGAGTTTATCAGCTACCTAACTACCTACTTACATTTCGTATAGCATAATGCCGAATGACCACCAGTCCACCGATTGGTTGTAATTCTTGCCGGATACAACCTGAAAAAACATGGTGTCGGTCAAGAGGGTGCATTTGTTCATTGGCGAGCTTTTATATTATTATCTGTGATCTATTTATTTTCAAGTAGAATGCAACTCACCTCACACATATTAGTAATTAGTATCGCAAAGCAAAAACATCCCATCGTTCTTCATCGTGCCTTCTTATTACGGAGCGAGCGAAGCGAGCGTAGTCTTTCCTTAGATTAACGGAAATTTCTGAGTATGAGCGGCCGGCCGGCCGGCCGGCCGGCCGTGGTCACGCTTTTGCGAGGCTTATATCTCAGCAACCACTTGACCGATTTACATGCGGTAATTTTTGTAGGGTAGCTTCATTCCTGCTACCAAGTATTGGACTATTCCCGATGCATGTGGGTGACCCCTTATGCACGTGCCACGTGCAAAACGAAGAGGTGTCATTTTTGTAATTGTTGCAATATCTCGGTAACTACTTGGCCGATTGCGCTGAAAGTTGGCATGTAGGTAGGCACCCACTAGGCAATGCATATCCATGTGCCAGAGTTTGGGTGCTGCTGCACGTGCGCACGTGCAGGGGTCGATTCCAGATCTCGAGAACGGCTGGACCGATGGCGCTCAAATTTGGTACATGGTTAGGGACCGGTTAGTAGGGAGCCGTGCAAAAGTCAGTTGGGACCCATTTTGCACGTGCGCACGTGCAGGGTGCCGCTTCCAGATCTCGAGAACGGCTGGGCCGATTGTGCTCAAATTTGGCACATCGCTAGAGACCGGTTAGTAGGGTGCCGTGCACAACTCAGTTGGAGGTACCCCCTCGCAATTTCGCACGTGCAAGGCTCACCCTCTCGCTCGCTCCGTTAGTCGCCCCAAAAGGCGTTATACTGGTTTATTGCTAATAGATTATCTCACTTCTGCGTTCCGTTTCCGTTCAGTGCTGCTCGGAAGTAGGTATGTGACGGCAAACCTCACCTCTGGCGCCATGTAGTCGACTGTTCCGCAGAAGGCGTCCGCTGTTCTGTCCAGGAAGATCTGCATCTGACACATACCGAAGTCGGCAATACGGACGTGGCCCTCGTGGTCCAGCAGGACATTGTCCAGCTTGAGGTCTCTGGAGCGAGATCGGATGACATCACAATACTGGAGTAAAAAACGATGAATGGTGACGCCTGATGGCCTTATTACGATTTCGCGCAGTATCAATATCATACTTTAAAGGTGAGCCGGCTTACAGTTCCGCATCTGGTTTCTGGTTGCGTACGGTAAGTTGAATACACACAGTTATTTTCAAGTCTCAAAAGGATACGATTTCATGAGAAATATCATGATATAAGATTGCGAAACATTTTAATACTGGTACCGCCGTGCCGTTAAGCTCTTTTATAGGTTCGGCTTCCTCAGGATAACGGAAATTCCTTGGGAAATCCTGGCGAGTCCCCACTCTATCCACATGTTTACCTGTAGATGATGCCGCGTTTGTGCAGGAAGCGCAGTCCGCAGACCAGCTCCGAGGCATAGAACCGCGCCAGCTCATTACTAAACCGGCCCATCTGCCCCAGATGAAAGCTCAAGTCTCCTCCGTTGAGAAACTCCAGTACGAAAAATAGATGAGACTGTGAAAGAAAAACATCAACACAGTCACGCCAACGCCCTCGAATGCAGCAACGTCTTGCAGTGGCACGTAATGCAGCTCAAAGTGAATGAAAGGTTTACGTTAGTGCACAAACATTTCGTTTCTAGCTTACCGGTGATTGGAAGGTGCAGAAAAGGTGACAGAGATATGGATGGTTGGTGCCGAGGGTCAAGATCTTCCTCTCTATCAAGGTGTCTTCGACGTCTTCATCGTTCACGATTTTGTCCTTGCGGAGACATTTGATAGCGAAGTAGTTCCGAGTGTCCTTCATTCTCGCCAACATAACCTATCGGAAGAGAGACGAGTAGCACGTGCATGTAGACACCAGTTCTTGTTTGTGTTCTTCGATGTCCCACAATTCAATGGAAATGTGATTGGCGAGTACAATACGACATAAGAGGTGAGTATGTACAGTAAGTGTAAAGTTATGTCAACAGAACAGCGTACTTCTATGGCTAAATTCATGTGGTTATCGACAGTGTACCTACCTAGGTGTCAACATTCTATGCAATGAGTGTCATACATCACGTTGATGTCTATTGCCTATGCTTTAGCGTATATAGTATACTACATCGAGAACCAACCCATGGAATCCTACGAATTCCCAGGTTCGCAGAACATCAGCTAAATCGATCGGTGAAGGAGCCACAAGTTTCGTCAACGTTTTGAGGGCGTCATTTCCTGTCTATGAATAGCCGGCATCCTATAAACCCACAATGTTTTGGCTGTCTTGGCGCGCAGCAGCTCTCCGGTCGGCTTTAGGAACGGAAAGGATGACTGGGCCAACTATTTGGAGCTAAAACTGTCTGAACTGGCGACTGAAAGACGTCCTGTCGTGTGACTTCCTCTCCGGCACTCTGCCTCCTGCTATATTTGTTTTTATGTTTTTGACTTCGCCTCTCAAATGGGCACTGCCTGTTGGCGATGTTGTTAAATAAACAAATAAACATATCAATATGATCTGTAGATCATAATCCATATTAATCAACGCTTATCATTTCCTCGGCAACCTGAGCTCGAACAGCTTTGCCTGTCTTCCTGAGTTCCCGAACGTGTCCCAACCCACCTTTCCGAACGCGCCCTTTCCGAGCACTCTGAGCAGCCTGAAGTCCTGCAGGGCATACTGGCGGAACTTGGGCGGTGGTCCGCCCAGCGGGCCCAGCCTTCTGTCAAACGGCGACTCGTCGATCTCGGCCGACGGGCGACGGACGGCCTCCGATGACGTCAGCCCGTCCCGCAGTGACGTCACCGGGCCAGCCGGCGGCGCTGCCGAGGGTGACACAGGGGTGGTGTCAGCGCGTGTCGCGAATAGTGCTGTCCGAGCGCGAGCCGCAGATGACAGTCGAGTTTGAACGGTGACAGAATGGGTGAAGTTCACAGCCCAGATTTGGTCATTGATGATGTCCCGGCCCTCTATTCCTTTCTGAAGCGAGATTTGTGGATGGATAAATGTACATGATATATCGAGAAGAATGAAAAAAAGGTGAATGTAATCAAAATTGGCTTACCTCCATCTACATGGGACGCTTCCTCTTCTTTCTTCGTTGCTTCCTCCTTTTGCTTCTGCATCCAGTCATCTTGCTTAATCATAAACACGAACCTGAGGTTACCCGGTACTTTCATGTACCCCTCAGGATCATCTTCCATTTTAAGCCTTTCCATTTTCAATTTAGCCCGCTGCCCGCGTCTACGGAATTTCTCAATCTTGCGCGCCTCTTCCCGCTCCTTAGCTTCTCGTATTTCTCTCTTTGCTCTTTCGAGGGGCGAAATCTCCTCCTCCGAATCGTATTCGCTGGAGGAACAGCTTTCAGAGCTTGAGCTTTGCTCTGAGCTTGACTTGACCTTCTTTGTGTCAAGTCGACTAGAACTGCTCTTTTTAGTGTTTGTTTTTCTCTTTGCTCTTGATCTTGAATTTGCTAAAGATGGCTTCAAATTATCGGATGGCATGCCTTTGACGTCAGTCGAAACGTTTTCCACGGATCGTTTTGTTTTTGACGTCTCACGGGCTTCGACTTTTTCCATGTTTTTGGACCTTTTGGAGCCATCAGGTGTTTTAGAGACCCTTTTCTTTTGCAACTTTGTTGGTTTTCCTGACGAACGTCCCACGCTTTCGTCTTGTTTGACACTACTGTCGGACACAACTGGTTGTTTCAAAGCGGTAACACTGGTTTTAGGTTTGCTGTTTTTGGAGTTTTTCTCTTGATCAGCACGTAAAAAGGGAGACATGCTAGAAAGGGTATTAACCGGAAATTGCAGTTTGTTTGTTGGTGTCACATTTGTTAGTTTAATTTGCTGTGGTTCAGATATAAGCGGTGGCTTTTTCCGAACAATTTTAACTTTTTTCTTTACAGGCGCTGGTTCAGCATCATTACCGCCGCCAAGTTTTATTTGAGGGAGTGCTTGGGCATTAGTCTCTTGTAACGTCTTCGTTGTTTTGAAACCACTTTGCTTTGCTGCCAGCGCCGATGCCTCATTCATATTTGCTTTTCGTTCTACTACAAAATTATGCTTTGTTTGTTTCTCGTTAGCTGCCGTACTTTGCACAGGCTTTTCACATGGACTACGGGCTAAGAGTTTCCGCTCCTTAGATCGAGTCTTTCTAGTGCTTCCATTCCCGTTGATACAGGGCACGTCGCCCTCCATTTCGCCAACAATCAGACGATCTCCAACCACTGCCGCATTGCGATTCACATTCTTCTCCCTGTCGGTTAGGCCGCTTTTTCTGTCAGTGTGATCTCGATGTTTCACTGGGGTATTTTGTTTCTGCTCTGACTTCCCACCGGAGCTGGTGCTGTCGCTGGGCTTTGTGACAGGACTGCTGTCAGTCGCAGCCATCCTGCCGGCATCCGAGGCATCCGAACTATGGGCGTCACGCGCCGCGTGGGACGCGCTTACTGCGTGCGTGACAGTGACCTCTGAGCGCTGACTGTCAACAGCGGGAGATGTGAGCGTGTTGCTGCTTGACTCCGACTGGACGGGTGATTTTTGTCGTCTGTCTGTGCCACTCAAGATTTTTGCGGAAAGACTATCTTCGCATGTCATGGCAGTGTTCAGTCGTTTTGCTTCTACGTGCTTCGAGATTGGGTTGTTTTCCATGCTAGCTGAATTGGCCTTCGCTGCCCCTTCATTAGCAATTGATTTCGAACTGTTCTCTCGTACACCAGCCGCTTCAATTTGATCCGCTACTTCCTTGCTTCCTGTAGAATGGAGCGTTGTCTTCCCCGCATTGACATCTTTTGCTCCCTTGGTTGATATAACTGATGATGAAGAGGTAGCTGCATTCGGAGGACTCAACGGAGCGACAGGCTTTGAAGCGTCTGCTTGTTTTGCAGAAGTGCCTGGACGTTTTTGAGTTGAATGTAAATCCTCACCTTGATGGTTAGAAGTCATATGCTGAAGCATCTCCATTTTCTTTTCGTCGAGCTTTGAGGCTTGATTCACTATAGAAACATTCGCAGACTCGGCAGTGCCAACTATCGGTATTTCCGATTTTCCAGGTTTATGAGCCAACCCTTCATGGCTTGAATTGATTTCGGCGACGATTTCACTCCCGGTCGCTCCTGTTTTCTCTGGTGGTTTTGCTGTTTGCGTATAGGTGTTATGCGCTTTGGCATTATCGAGACTTGCTGGAATGTTTTTATTTATTTCTTTATCACTTATGCTTACCTGGCCTGACGCATCAGTACCAGAAATAGGACTGTTGGTTTTAGCGACTGACTTTTTCAGGTAGATATTGTTGTTTATATCATCTGTGATCTCCATTCTCTTTGTAACAGCCCCTTCATTTGGTTTGTTTTGGCAGCCAATTTGTAAAAGCTCTGATTTCTCTTTCTTGGAACTGGCATTTCCCTTCAGATGCTCCTTTTCCACATCCAATTCAGGTAATGTCTTCGTTAATTTCTTTTTCTTTACCTTCTTTGTTTTGGTCGTCGTCTTGGTCTCATGCTCTGCTCCATCAGTATGTTTCACTGTTATTTGGATGCTCTTCTCTGTATCGTTATGAGCTTCAGGCGTTTTTGAACTTAACCCAGACCGCCTTTCTACCGGTTCTTGTGCCGTTTCCTTTAGCGGTTGACTCTTTGGTTTGTCGGGAGTTGTAAGAGCAAGAGACGGTACCTCAGGCGCAGGCGGACTTCGTGAGTGGCTCGAATTAGCTCCCAACAACATCATGGCTTCATCGTAATTTGTCAATGTTTGCCCTGACGGCTTTTCTATTTGAGAGGCACCCAGACCTTTCGAAACCACGTTTCCCTTTTGTTTAGCAGTTGACCTTTCTGTTTCATCAGAGCAGCTTGGTCTGTTTTCAGGCACATTGTTTGTCGTTTCGCACTGTTTTGACACAAGCGTGTCTGGTTTTGGCGCGGTTCCCGGCGTTGCTTCTTTTCTTGCCTGTTTTGCGTCGTGGTCTGCGCCAGACTCTGGGGCGTATATTTGACTCTGCTTGATTGTGTTTTCTTGTGAAGTTCCTGTTGGCTCCTTGGTAATTGACCCAGACGTGACCTTGCTCGCAGCTGCCGCAGATATCTTCGAGTAGCTTTCGGTTTCTCCACGACCGCTGCCAGCTTTCACCCTTTTGTCAGTTTCAGCTACTTTGGGATCCATGACAACTGGCTGCTTGCCTTCTGCTGCCAATGCTGTAGAGTTTTTAGTCAATACCCTGTCACTGTCACGATTTGATTCATCGATCGTTGCCACGACACTCGCGCTCGACGCCGAACGTCTCGGTGCCCCTCTGCCGGCGGCGCTACCGTCTCGACTGCCGCCACTGGACTTGCCCGGGCTCACGCCACTCCTCGTGTTGAGGGTTCCATCTCGTGACACCGTCGCGTCCCCCAGAACAGCGCTCAAAGGTCTGTGCGGTGGTCGCTGGGCACCCCTCGTCTCCCCTTCATGGTCCTCCCGAAGCACTGAGCCTGCGCGGCTTCCTCCAAACACAGCGGTGCGCGTGCGCGTCAGCGGCACCTCAGACTTCTCCTTCAGCTCGCCGAAGATCCCACTGCGACTGCGGACCAGCCCACCAGTGTCCATCTGTCGAGAACGCCGCCTGAGCGTACCAAACTCACTCGCCATCCCTGCAGAACTTCCGGCGGAGCTGGAGTTCACTGTCGAGCCCGCCGAGCCGAGCGCGCCGCTGGAGCCGGAGGTGTACAGCCGGCGGCCCTGTAGCACGCGCGGCACGTTGGAGCCGGGGACCTCCAGCGCCGCCAGCGCCCGCGTCAGGCTCGGGTCGTAGTCACGACGCGGCACTGTCGGGGCCAGCACTGACCGGCCTGTGGAGAGGGTCAACATGCTGCTGGGCCGCGCGCGAGCCTGGGTGGCGGCGGCCACACCCAGAGACGTGGAGCGCCGGTAGACGGGAGGTCGAGGCTCGGCGCTGCCGGCCACACGGCCACGTAGCGGTGGAGACAGCATCCTCGGGTCTGTCGACGAACCTGGAACGAGAACGAGGTGTCAGGGCAGGAGGTCGCCGGTGACTACACCATGAGTGAAAACTGACTGATTGAAGATGTTACTGAAGTTTGAAGATTTATGTTCGAACTTTTTGTGCTTTTTTCTGCGTGAGAATAAATGCAGCGATAGTTATCATACATTCATTGTGTAGTGGAGGAAGGAAATGATGCCTCAGTTAACACTGAAGTGAAATATCTGCATAATGTAGCCGCCCATCCCAATGCTCGGCGCAGCGTTCCTAATCTCTCCCCTACAACAAGGCCGAAATGTTAACGGCGGGGAGCTACTTTTGACGGTCAACTCTCCGTGGCATCGGAGGTTCGTTCACCGGCACTCCCAAAGGCCAAGTGTCTGAAGCTCTCTCCCTCCCTCCTCGTTCTCCTCTCTCTCTCCCTCCCTCTCCCTCTCTCTCTCTCTCTCTCTCTCTCTCTCTCTCTCTCTCTCTCTCTCTCTCTCTCTCTCTTTCACTCAATCTCCTTGGATTCTGCATTCTTCAGTTTTCATCTATCTCGCTCTTCTTTTTCTCCCTTTTCAGCAATCGTCAATAACACTGAACGAATAATTGAAACGAAATACGAGTAGTGTCTGCAGTATTATGTTAGTGGAGCGAAAACTGTCAACGTACCATAACTATAAACAATCTCCAACTAGTGAATAAGCGTAATGTCGTTATATAACTTGCAAACAGTGTCACGTAGTCGTTAGATACTCGTTTATCGTTTGAGATACTCGTTGTTTACCGTTTGCCAAATTTTCATTCATCTTTGCTGATATAAGGATACAAAAGTCTGGGATTGGCGCAACAGCTTTCCACCTCGTTTCTTACATACATATAATACACATACATATAATATAATATAATATTACATATAAAGCCATTCATTCATACATATACTCTTATCCTTAACCTCCTCTGCAAAGTTCGTTGCACTCGGTAGTTTATTTACCTACAGTAGGGGAGAGTGGGGTGGGTTGTATCAGTTTTTACTCCGAGACCCATAACCTCGTAACTATCCGTGATAAACTCATTATTTCCATACTGTCTCCTTTCTTGATTCTTCTGCTTTTTTGTGCAAAGTAACTTTTCCGCTACTTCTACTAGTTTTTCTTCTACGGTCTGCCGAATAGAACAATGTTTTTGATACAACTTGCCCCATGCCTTGGGTGAGTTGTATCACATGGTGGGGTAATTTGTTACGGAGCGAGCGAAGCGAGCGGAGTCTTACGTAGAATAACGGAAATTTCTGAGTATGAGCGGCCGGCCGGCCGGCCGGCCGGCCGTGCGGACGCTTTTGCGAGGCTTATATCTCAGCAACCACTTGACCGATTTACACGCGGTAATTTTTATAGGGTAGCTTCATTCCTTCTACCAAGTATTGGACTATTCCCGATGCATGTGGGTGACCCCTTATGCACGTGCCACGTGCAAAACGAAGAGGTGTCAGTTTTGCAATTGTTGCAATATTTCGGTAACTACTTGGCCGATTGCGCTGAAAGTTGGCATGTAGGTAGGCACCCACTAGGCACTGCATATCCATGTGCCAGAGTTGGGGTGCTGCTGCACGTGCGCACGTGCAGGGGTCGTTTCCAGATCTCGAGAACGGCTGGACCGATTGCGCTCAAATTTGGTACACAGTTAGGGGCCGGTTAGTAGGGTGCCGTGCAAAAGCCAGTCGGGACCCATTTTGCACGTGCGCACGTGCAGGGTGCCGCTCCCAGATCTCGAGAACGGCTGGGCCGATTGTGCTCAAATTTGGCACATCGCTAGAAACCGGTCAGTAGGGTGCCGTGCACAAGTCAGTTGGAGGTACCCCCTCGAAATTTCGCACGTGCAAGGCTCACCCTCTCGCTCGCTCCGTTAGTCGCCCCAAAAGGCGCTATACTGGTATCACTATTTCACGTGTCAGGGAGTGTGCTTGCTACTGGTTTTGAACATAACAACAACATTAAATGGGGTTAATACAATGTATATGCTCAAAGGCTTCACCTTTATTAGACCAAACTTAGGTCAATCCGAACGAAACATCGAAACGAACGAAACATCAACAGACTAGACGCAAAAGTGACCCGTTAAGAGCAAAGCAGCCAACACATTGTGCCTAAATGGAAGGAGTATTGACTAGCTACCTACAAACGCGAGCCAGGACTTAGCTTTCGCGATCAAAAGCAACATACCCATACATACATACATACATACATACATGTTACAACATACCCCACCCGGCTCTGATACAACATGTACCTCGCCGCCATCTTGGAAAAAACATCCTCGTGCTCAAAAACAGCGGACACCTGGAGAAATCCATTTTCACTCACGCAGCCTTAGAACCTACCCTCACCACCGCTACGGAGATCTTTCAAATTCGTGCACATCTAAATGCCCAAAACACACATTTTCCTGCAACTTATTTTTTTATAATGACATAAAAAAACATAAAATCGGCTCTCACCTCGAGACGCGTCCACCCAGCCACACGACAGAACAGGGAAAGATGGCGCCCGGAAAACCTCGTCGGCTGGTCGTGTCACGAGCGCTATCTATTGGATAAGTTTGGCACAATTCGCCCTGATACAACTTGGACATGATACAACTCACCCCGCTCTCCCCTATTTGTCAGCGTTGACTATGTGTCCCAGGGGCGGATCCAGAAAATCTCCAAGGGAGGGGCCATTAGAAACCAGGAGGCCCCCCCCCCATAATCCCACCTGTTGGAGGCCCCATCTTCCCACTTGTTGGCCCCCCCAAAAAAAAACTGCGTCTATTGAGCTTATCTAGCTGTTCACGCAACATCTCAACATCTGTGCAGGCTTGGAGGCCCTCTGTGCAGGTTAGGAGGCCCTGTAAAAGTGGTCATCTCTGTGAGTATAAGAGACCTCCAAGTTATGAAAAGCTTTACCAATCTTCTAACAAAGAAGTCTTCTCAGCTAGTCTTCTAAGAAATAACTAAGTGGGTAGGTAAAAAAAAAAACTCATCGGATTTCGGCCACTTTATTTTCAGGAGGCCCCCTTTTCAGCTTTTTAACTTTTTAACTTTTTATTTTATTTTTGAAAAAAATCGGCCAAGGGGGTGGGGCCATGGCCCCCATGGCCCCCCCTTGTATCCGCGCCTGATGTGTCCCATGACTAAACCGTGACACCGGATACGCCCCAGGGTCAGACGGCTGGCGGTAGCTGCAACATCACATCACGTGCCAGGGGGATGATCTCGGAGTGCAAACTCCGGGAGCCGGACCGAGGTCCAAGACCAGCGAGAGAGCGCAGATCTGCAGCTGATCTGGCTCCTGTCAGACTCGCCAATAGCGCGACCGAAACCGCTGCAACAGATAGCGTGATTTGCATTTTTGGTATTTACAAGAAGTGACCGGCAAGCCTGTTATGTGAACAGGGGAATAAATAAGTCACAGCAGATGTTTATTGAAATTTTTAATTAGATTAACCCGCGCCGGGCCGGTGCTCTGAGATTCCGCGCCGGGCCGGGGGGGGGGGCTGTCTGAACACCCCCCCCCCTTCTAACTCGGCTCCTGGGCCACGTAGCGACACGAGGTAAGCGGCAATCGAAGGAACGTCCAAAATAAGGACGAAAACACTTCCGTCATTTTTGGGTCAGGTCAAAGGTCAGGTCACCAGAGGTCACCAAAGATAAAATGTTGAATATTTCAACATTTTGGAAACTGCCGACGGCTATCTCGGGAACCGATAGAACTACAGCGCCGCGGAAAAGCGCATTCGATAGCCCTTTTACAGAACTTTCTGAGTTATACTCTCAGATTTGACCTCAGGTCAACGGTTTAGCCTCCAGAGGACAAAAACTCCAAAAATGGCCGTTTTTACGAAAAGCGTTTTTTCGGCAATAACTTTTGACTAAAAAAAGCCATGACATTACTTTTGGCAGCATCGTGTTCCTCTCGTCGAGACGCGTCGAATGAACTATAATTTTACCTTGAAAGGTCAACTTGAAAAGTTGACCTCAGGTCAAGGTCATGACCTGACCGGAAAAGGTTATGTTGCATATTGTTGTGTTTGTATATAGGCCCCCCCCCGAGGCCCCCTACTTGGACCGCCTCTGCGACCCCACGGTGCCAGGTGCCTGTGAGCGCCCCTGCCGGCGCCAGCTGACTGTGCGCGCCAAGCGGCGTGACTGGCGCACGGGACGTGGGCTGGCGCTCGCCATACTTGTTTACGTTTCGATCTCTCTCTCGGCCCATTCGCACCGGTCTAAAATAAATCGCGTTGATATTCATAAGCTCTTTCACTTCGAACCGATAAACGACAACTAAACATGGCGCGGTCGGTTTTGTGAATTACTACGTGATTGAGCATACCGCGATGACTATCATTCAAGAACTGACGGCACTGCTGGAGAGGCAAGTGAAGAGAGCCGCCGACGCCGACAAGCGCCTGGAGCGCTTGGAGAGGCTGCTAACCAGGGAGCCCTCCGCGGGGACGGACGCGACGACCGGAGTGTCAGAGTCGGGGGCTGAGCGAGGCGCTGATGGATCCGTTGGACCAGCTGCCGCCGCCCGCCGGACTGTCTGCCTGCCGGTGTCGGCGACCCCGCCCGCGCAACCGAAGTCGGCATCGACGTGCAACGACCGTGCCGAGTGCAGTGTTCACGACAGTGATTTAGGAGCGGTGAGCCGCAGGCTGGAGGACTTTTGTAAGGGCAAAATTTAGCGCGACGTGTACGTCGGAGAGGAGCGGCGGGCCGGAGTACCAGGGTGCGTGTAAGGCCAGTCCGCCGTATGATAGCCTCCGGCGGGAAAGGCGTGCCCGCCGGGTGAAAGGCTGCGGCTGGCCGGCACCTGGGACTCGCGGGCCCGTCTCTCGAGGCATTTGCCAGTGCGGTGTCGTCGGGGCAACATCTTTCGGTAAGCGAACTTTTCCCTCCCCCCTAAATTAACGCCGCAGCGCCCAGGCGCTGCGGAAGTCCCCGACAAATGTCCTGGATTTCATTTGGCTTTCCGACCCGCCGCAAATAGCGGTGGGCACTCCCGTTTTATATCCAGGACAGTCCCATCTAAATTATAATTAATCGGCGCGGCGCGTGGCGTATATGAGTGAGCGATTGTAAGTGTGATGTGTATAGTGTGCGTGAGGAAAATGATCCGAGAGAATGACACTTCGTCCCGCGAGACCCAAAATACAATGTAATGGGAATGTGAGCCAAATCTTTGAATTGGGTAAAGGCAGATGCCGGGCTGATACACGGTGAACGTGAACGAACAATCATACGGGCCGCTTAGTTTAATACACCCGGGTGGCAGGCGGGCATTGTAGAGTAACTTTGATTAACGTAATGTCTGTACATGGGGGGAACCATTAAAAGGTTGCCGGTTCCGATGCTTGAAACCCCTACATAAAAATGGTGCATCGGCCGGGAAATCTTTCCCATCGGAGGTCAGGATGCCCGAAGTGTTCCTTCCGCCATAATCTGCGGCACGCGACAAGTGTAGTATTCCGCTCCCCGGCACCAGGGCACATTGGTACCCGGGCGTATTTGCCGCTTCCGGGCACGCGGCCCACTGGCCCGTGCTGGCGCAACGGAAGGCCAGCGCTACCCGGGATAAAACGCCGATCGGTCCTGATAATGCCGTGAGGGAGGCCCGGACGGAGCCCGGGTGTCGCAGAGGCGGGGTCAAAGGACATGACGTGGGCGCCGTTCGGCCATTTCCGCTCCCTTGGAGGTGGTTACCGGTCGAGCTGTTCTTACTTTTGGCTTCAATATCTTGTGTAAATCTTTGTTTCCATACCTTTCGTCACGTTCACACGCGTGAATCAGCCCAATTAAAGGGGGGCATGGGGGACAATTTGCTACCGCACAATATCTGAGGAGGATACGCACTCCGCAGGCGCAGGAGCGATAACGTCGGCGATTACGGCGATAACACAGCGATAAGGTCGGCGCGGCAGCGACAGAGCGGAAGGGCTCTCGAGATCGCTGGCGCGGTTGCTCGCGCACAGGGTGCGGGCACGCACCGTCTCGTGAGGTTCACGAGAGGCTCGGAGGACTCACTGGCGCGGGCTCATCGTCACGGTGATTTGACGAGAGTCAGCTGAGAGCTCCGCGGTGAGTACCGATCTGCTCCGAGCGATAAGGGCAAAATTTAGCGCGACGTGTACGTCGGAGAGGAGCGGCGGGCCGGAGTACCAGGGTGCGTGTAAGGCCAGTCCGCCGTATGATAGCCTCCGGCGGGAAAGGCGTGCCCGCCGGGTGAAAGGCTGCGGCTGGCCGGCACCTGGGACTCGCGGGCCCGTCTCTCGAGGCATTTGCCAGTGCGGTGTCGTCGGGGCAACATCTTTCGGTAAGCGAACTTTTCCCTCCCCCCTAAATTAACGCCGCAGCGCCCAGGCGCTGCGGAAGTCCCCGACAAATGTCCTGGATTTCATTTGGCTTTCCGACCCGCCGCAAATAGCGGTGGGCACTCCCGTTTTATATCCAGGACAGTCCCATCTAAATTATAATTAATCGGCGCGGCGCGTGGCGTATATGAGTGAGCGATTGTAAGTGTGATGTGTATAGTGTGCGTGAGGAAAATGATCCGAGAGAATGACACTTCGTCCCGCGAGACCCAAAATACAATGTAATGGGAATGTGAGCCAAATCTTTGAATTGGGTAAAGGCAGATGCCGGGCTGATACACGGTGAACGTGAACGAACAATCATACGGGCCGCTTAGTTTAATACACCCGGGTGGCAGGCGGGCATTGTAGAGTAACTTTGATTAACGTAATGTCTGTACATGGGGGGAACCATTAAAAGGTTGCCGGTTCCGATGCTTGAAACCCCTACATAAAAATGGTGCACCGCGGCCGGGAAATCTTTCCCATCGGAGGTCAGGATGCCCGAAGTGTTCCTTCCGCCATAATCTGCGGCACGCGACAAGTGTAGTATTCCGCTCCCCGGCACCAGGGCACATTGGTACCCGGGCGTATTTGCCGCTTCCGGGCACGCGGCCCACTGGCCCGTGCTGGCGCAACGGAAGGCCAGCGCTACCCGGGATAAAACGCCGATCGGTCCTGATAATGCCGTGAGGGAGGCCCGGACGGAGCCCGGGTGTCGCAGAGGCGGGGTCAAAGGACATGACGTGGGCGCCGTTCGGCCATTTCCGCTCCCTTGGAGGTGGTTACCGGTCGAGCTGTTCTTACTTTTGGCTTCAATATCTTGTGTAAATCTTTGTTTCCATACCTTTCGTCACGTTCACACGCGTGAATCAGCCCAATTAAAGGGGGGCATGGGGAACAATTTGCTACCGCACAATATCTGAGGAGGATACGCACTCCGCAGGCGCAGGAGCGATAACGTCGGCGATTACGGCGATAACACAGCGATAAGGTCGGCGCGGCAGCGACAGAGCGGAAGGGCTCTCGAGATCGCTGGCGCGGTTGCTCGCGCACAGGGTGCGGGCACGCACCGTCTCGTGAGGTTCACGAGAGGCTCGGAGGACTCACTGGCGCGGGCTCATCGTCACGGTGATTTGACGAGAGTCAGCTGAGAGCTCCGCGGTGAGTACCGATCTGCTCCGAGCGGAGCGTGTGAGTGTCCGTGTGTTTGTTTTGTCTTTATTTTGTAGTGTGGGTTTTCAGGGTGTGTGGGGAGATTGCAATATTGGGTGCTAACAGGGGAGTGTTCGTATTATTTCAATTCACTAGCGTGACGTTATAGCTCGTGTGAGCTATGCCCACCACGGATGATGAGGGCCCTCGGGCCACATATGGGCCCGACCAGTCCACGTATTCGGTCCTGCCTCCGGCCAAAAACCTGGGGGCATTACGGGAGATTCCCATGTTTGAGCCGGACAAGGAGGGAAGCGTGGGCGTCGGGGATTTTCTTGAGGCAGTGGAGAACGCGGCCTCTTTGGGAAACCTCGACGCCAATGACATTATGAAGGTGATGCCGATGCGCCTGAGAGGCCCAGCAAAGGGTTTCCTCAAAACGTATCTGGCATCCAAACAGGTGGGCTCGGACGTGTTCGGGCTGGGTCACCTGTGGAAAGATTTTAAACGCGGGCTGTTTAACCGTTTCCGCAAGCCCACGGACCCGGTGGCGCACCTGCTGCAGCTCACGAGCTGTCAGCAGGGCGATACCGAGACCGCCCGGGGGTATGCGCAGCGGCTTAAATCGCTCGCGTATAAAACATGGCCGCAATTCACTCAGTCACAAGACGAGCCCATCCGCCAACTGGGCGAGAAACTCATCTACCAACACTTCCTGAAGGGCTTGAAGCCCACAAATCTCGAGCGGATCCATTTGAAGGGCATAGGGGACATGGATGCCGCCGTGATCGAGCTGACCAGCAAAGAGACATTTGATGCCCTGCAGCGCTCGGGCGGTCGCTCCGTCCGAGTGAATCAGATCGGAGAGGAGACGCCTCGGGCGCTAGAGGAGATCCGCGGAGCCGTGCGCGAGCTCCGCGAGACGGTGGCGACCCACATAGCCAGCACCGCCGAGGCTCTGTCTCACGCGCTGGGGTCGCATACATTGTCTGCGCCCTACTCTGCAGCCGGACACGGCCGGGCGGACGCGCTCCCATTCCACGCGCCGGTCCCTCCGGCCTATGGGGCCGCTGTATATGGGTCGGGGGCGGTGCCGGACTCGGCCGGTCCGTCAGGATCCGCTGGCCCATGGTACGAGACGGCACTGTCTCACCCGACAATGGCTGACCCTGGGCTGGGGGAGACAACATATGGTGACAATTTCTATGGACCGGGAGGGCACCCGCCCCAGTCGGGGCCGGACATGTGCGACCAGGGGCTGGAATGGGCTCAGCCGTCGGCCTCTAACTGCCCGCCCGGCTACTCCCCGCATCTGAGTGGTCCGAGCGCGATGGAATACTGGGTGAACGCCGTGGGCTATCGGCCTCGGCTGCCCCAGTATCCCATACTACGGCCCGCTGCTCCGGGATACCAGGGGCAGGCTCCGCCGCGCCCCATGGGAGGCGCTCCGAGGGGACCGGTTGCTTGTTTCAACTGCGCCGGGCCCCATTACGTGCGGGACTGTCCCTGCCCGCGGCTGCCAGTAGCGCGCGGAGTGTACACTGGGGGAGCGATGAGGGCGCCGGCGCCGGGCGGGCCGCTCTGGCGTGGCGTGGGACCGAGACCTAATTACCCGCCCGGGGGCCGGATGACGGCTCCCAGGTTCCCAGCGGTCCGGGACCGCGTGCCGCCCCAGCAGCAGCCTTTAAACTGGTAGGGCCAGTCGGAAGCGCGCCCGACCGATTGGCTAATGGAGTTGACAGGGCGGGGGAGGATGACGTTCTCTCGGTAAATAGCCTCATTGAGAGAGAGTCGGAGCTGCCAAAGTTGAAAGTGAGGGTGGGAGATCAGAGCTTCTCAGCTTTGGTGGACTCTGGCTCCTCAGTGACGCTGTTATCCGCGGCGGCGTGGCAGAGGCTGCCCGTGCGGCCTAGCCTGAGCGCCGGAGGCGGCATTCGACTCCGCTCGGTCACCGGCGGAGAGCTGGCCAACATCGGCGAGGCGGTGCTGACGGTTGAAATAGGGGCTTTCAAACTCGAACACAAAATGTGCGTCATACAGGGCTTGCCCTATGACGTGCTACTCGGAATCGACTTTATTAAGGCGTCAAGAATGGTGTTAAATGCGGCAGAGGGGTGTGTACAGATAGGGAGTAGCCGCGTTCCATTCGCTTCCTCCTGCGGGCTGTATAACGGCCCGCGAGCGGTGTGTCTTTCCACGGACGTGACCGTGCCCTCGCGGCACGTGTGCGTGATCGCGGCTAAGCTGGACACGGCGGGCCGGGGCTCGTCCGAGAAATTGGTCGAGTTTGTTCCTCAGCCACCCGAGGAAACGCTCGAACCGTTTCTGGAAGTGCCCAGCTTGGTGGCCAAAACCAATTCGGCAGGCTATATCCAGATCCCACTCGTTAACCCGACCGAGGACGACATACAGCTGCCCGCCGGCTACGAGCTGGGGCAAACTCAGCTGTATGAAGGGCTGGTCGCCACGGTGCATGTGGATCCGGTGGGAGGTCAGGACCAGGACGGTGTTGGGCCGCCGCTCTGGGCCGGCCGCTGGCCAAGCCGCGAACACTTTCTAAGTCAGTTCCCCCTGGAACATCTGAGTGGGGATCGCAAACGGCGTGTGGAGGATTTGCTCTGCCGCCATCAATCAATGTTTTCATGCCACGATTATGACCTCGGCCGCATAGAAATCGCGGCACCCACAATCCGGCTCAAACCGGGAGCCGAGCCCGTGCACTCGCGCCCGTATCCGTGCTCAGAGCACCAGCGCCAGGAGCTCTGGCGACAGCTGGAGGAAATGCTCAAAAATGACCTAATAGAGCCGGCGTACGATGGGTTTACGTCCCCATGCATCCTGGTAAAGAAGCCAAATCCCACCTCAGAGTCTGACTCCTGGCGACTCTGTCAGTCCTTCGTAAAGCTCAACTCGATCACCGAGACCCTGAGTTACCCGCTCCCTAATATGCAGCGCATATTAGAAGATCTGGGGCGTAACAAGGGTTTCGTGAGCTCGATGGACATGACAAAAAGCTTCTACCAGATCCGCGTGCTGCCTGAGTGTGCCAAGCTCGCTGGGTTTATAACACCCTTCGGGGGCTATAAACCCAAAGTGCTGCTCATGGGTTTGAAGAATAGCAGCGCGAGCCTCCAGCGAGTTGTAGACGCTGTGTACGCCCCGGTGCTGGCGACGGGAAAGATCCATTGCTACCTAGACGACCTGATCTGCTCAACCGCCACTGAAACCGAGCACCTCGAGATGCTGGAGAGCACCTTCCAGCTGGCTCGGAAGCACGGGGTGAAATACAAACCGAGCAAAACGAGGCTTCTCTGTCGGTCGGTCAAACTGCTGGGACATGTCATCTCTCCCGAGGGTATAAGTGTCGATGACAGCAAGACACAGGCTATCGCCCAAATAGCAGAACCGACCAACAAAACAGAGGTTAGAGCCTTCGTGGGCCTGGCCAACTTTTACAAGCGCTTCGTGCGGGGTTTTGCGGCCCTGGCTCGACCCTTACTGAACTTGCTGAAGAAGAACGTGCCCTTTGTGTTCACTGAGGAGTGCAGGGAGTCCTTTGAGGCGCTGAAACGGTGTTTGTGCGAGAGTCCGGTACTCCGGTACCCCGACTTCTCGGGTAAATACCCATTTCACGTCTACACCGACGCGAGCTCACGAGCACTGGGAGCGGCGCTGCATCAGGAGTTCGAGGACGGCTCTCACCCTATAGCCTATGCTAGCCGGGTGTTGACGCCGTCCGAGCTGCCGCAGCCCATACTGGTCAAGGAGAGCTTGGCTGTGGTCTTTGCTGTCTGTGAGAAGTTCTTTTACTATCTCGACGGACGGCATTTCATACTGACCACAGACAACAGCGCTCTGAGATACCTGCTCCAGGCCACCACGGAACCAAAGGGCTCCTCACGACTCGTTAGGGATGCATTGAGGCTGCTCGACTTCGAGTTCGAGGTGCGACACCGCCCTGGGCCCGAAATTCCGCACGTAGACGGCTTGAGCCGTTTGACTTGGCAGGCCATGAAAGAAGGGCAAGGCCAAAAGGTGACAGCTGACATTGACCTCGACTCGCGCACTCGGCCGGTTTGTACCGTCACGGAGATGGGAATCAAACGGCTGAGTGCCGAGGAGCTGCGATCCGAGCAGCTCAAGGATGAGCAGCTGAAACCGATCATTCAATATCTGGAGGGAGATGCCGCCGGCCAGGGACCGCTGCGGCACAAGAAATATTTCATGAACGAACAGGGAATACTTTACTGTCGCTCCAGATCGGGCGGAAATCATCAACTGGTGGTCCCTAAGTCGCTAAGGAAGGCCTTGATGATTGATCACCATCAGGGCAGCTTTGGTGGCCACGTCGGGTGGCGGAAGATGTGGAGTGGCCTCCGGCCAAAGTACACCTGGAAGGGCATGACTGCTGACCTTAAGAGGCATGTAGGTCAGTGTGCCGACTGTGAGGGGCGAAATGCGGGTTTCATCGGCAAAGCACCAATCCAGGACAATTACCAGGCGACCCGGCCTTTCCAAAAGGTCAGCATTGACTTGCTGACCGGCCTGCCTCTCACCGACCGTGGGAATACGGTGCTGCTAACCGTGGTGGATTGTTTCACTCGTTGGGTGGAGCTGATCCCCTTGCCATCTAGAACGGCCAAAAATGTTGCACTGGCCCTGCGCGACCGCGTTTTTCTGCGGCACGGAGTGTGTGATGTGGTGAGTGACAACGGCGCCGAGCTGGTCTCGGAAATTGTCACCGAGCTGTACACTCTGTTGGGGGTGAGAGCCGGCACGTGCACCGCATACCACCCGCAGGCCCAAGGCGTGGTGGAACGTACACACCGAGTCATAGCGGACATGTTGGCCAAGTATATTTCCTCTGGGGATGTTGCGACTCTGGCCGTGTATAAAAGTGTGGACTGTATTCAGACAAACCCTAAGACCGGATCGACTGTAAGTTTCAACCGACTACTTAAAGAAATGCGTTGAAGTGCCGCGATATATTGTGATGATAAGCACAATCAAATACAACCCGTGACTAGCCACCCTTTAAACGACAATTGTCGGAGTTAAACAGCATTAGCTGACCTTACCGATATCCGATCCAGAAATGCACTACACCCCAAAGGTTCCAATTTGGGGTTGGCACCGGGTTACCCCGCGCCGCCACCGATAGCCGACCCTCCACCCCTCCTCGACGCCAAGCCGACCAGCGGTAGCAACCGGGGTGCAAGGAGTCAGCCTCAAGGCCGCACTCTCCCGGTGCCTGAGTCGCGCCGTCACTCTACCCGTGTGCAAAGATCAGCCGCAAAAGGCCGTACCTTACGGGTTCGAGATCAGGACGCCAACTGACCGCTGATCAGCGACCGCCGCCGCAGTCGGCTCCGCCCAATTCGCCCGCAGGCGGCCGGTCACGTGTCCACAGCGGCTCACAACTCGCGCGCGCGTCGCCGGCCGGCCCGGCTGGGGCTCACAAACTCAAGTGGTCGCATTTCACAACATACTCCCCCCTTGAAAATTAGCAAATTTTCAACACAAAATAAACTGCCAATCTTGGACGCAACGATCACCGATATCACCGTGACGTCAGCACCGCGTCCGCCGCATCACGTACACATCGTCACTGCACGTCACTGTCCAGTGTCCAGCTAGGCACACGCACACCGCACTCGCTTCGCCTGGCTTCAGCTTGAGCCATTCCGGGAAAGTCCAGTGCGCCCGGTCTTCGTGCGATCAGCGTCCGGCCGCCGTGCCACCGTCCAGCCGCCGTACCGGTCCATCCGTCCATTGCTTGTGACCGGACAGTCCAAAAGACCGTTCCGGTGAAGCACCGCAGAGCACCATATGCCGCCGCTTCGCTGACCGAGAGCTCACGCGTCAGGACAGGGTCTGTTGCAAAAAGAAAGAAAAGTCAAGCGCAACCCGATAAATGTCATTTCAGGTCAGGACACACATAAATACATTCACAAGGCCATTTACATTTTCCAAACACTTCAATACAACTGCTGTTCAGTCTAGAATCATCAAAACAGTTAAGGATTCAGCTTCTTCATTGGCCACCTAGTTGTCCGGAACACATCTCCTGTCCGCTCGTCCGTGCCTGCCAGGCCCAGAGATCTGCCGCTCAGCCAGGACCAAAGGCCAGCGACCGCGGTGCCTGTCGCTATGAACTCGGAACACGTCTCCCACCTTGGGCAAACGGGTAGGTCTTCCTCGCGGCGACAGAGTCCAGGCACGCAACACGGCCTGCTTCCAGCAATCTGTCAAATGAGCATCGATACGACGATGGCGACGGCGCCGCCGCCGGACCCGATCAACTCTGTCATATCGAGCCCCTCGATGTAGAGACGCGACACCGTCTGAGGCCGGAGACGGCTCCGAATCGGACGCAAGTCCGCAGTCGGCCACTGTCCGTCCTCCCCCCGTTTCAGTGATGGGTGGTTCCTTATGGGACGCCGGCACGCAGTCGGTCACCGTCAGTCCTCCCCCCGGTTCGAGGACAGGATCAACCAGCATGTCCGTCATCTCGCCGTGATGTGGACCGACGCTCTCCTCGTCGAGTCTTCCAGCAGTCATCCTCATGGCGAGATTCTCCGTCCTTCGGCACGGAGAATCCTCAAATCTGTCACTGTGCGTGTGGAGGCCGTGCATCACGTAGCCGAAAACGGTGGCGACGGCCCGAAGTCCGTCACCTACATCGACCTGCTCCCACTGCACGATTCGATAGAGGTTATCGATACCGATTAGCAGGTCAATCTCGCCTCCCTTAAAATCATCGGCCATCATCTCGGGCATCTGACCGGGCACCTTCGAGAGGGACGGCACCGGGAGGGGAGAGCACACCCGTTCCGTGCTCCACAGGTCAATAGTCACATGTCCGTCATCGAACCGGCTGTTCAAATCGATCCTGACTCGGTCGTATTCCCGTGGCTCCTCGAGCTTCTCCTGAAAACCGATGCAGGAGAAGGTCCCGGTGCCAACGACCGGCAGTCCAAGCTCCTCTGCCAGGGAGCTGCGTATGTAAGAGGAGTCTGATCCCCCGTCCAAGAGAAGCCGAACCATTCGACCGTTCTGGGGATCACCGGCCCTGACCAGCGCTGTCTGGAAGAAACAATTGCCAATGTTCCCCCCACCAGCCTGGTAGCGATGCCGTCCGACATTGAAATCACGTGATTCTGTCCTTACCCCAGCCGTGCTGATTGGGACCGTTTCTGGCCTGAACGGACCCACCGGCGGCGC